GAATGCATTTCAATTAACAGGTGTGCCTTGTTAAAAGTTCATTTGTGGATTTTATTTCCTTCTTAATGCGTTTGAGCCAATCAGTTGTGTTATGACAAGGTAGAGGGGGGTATACAGAAGATAGCCCTATTTGGTAAAAGACCAAGTCCATATTATGGCAAGAACAGCTCAAATAAGCAAAGAGAAATGACAGTCCATCATTACTTTAAGACATGAAGGTCAGTCAATTCTGAAAATGTCAAGAACTTTGAAAGTTTCTTCAAGTGCAGTCGCAAAAACCATCAAGAGCTATGATGAAACTGGCTCTCATGAGGGCGCCACAGGAAAGGAAGACCCAGAGTTACCTCTGCTGCAGAGGATAAGTTAATTAGAGTTAACTGCACCTCAGATTGCAGCCCAAATAAATGCTTCACAGAGTTCAAGTAACAGACACATCTCAACATAAACTGTTCAGAGGAGACTGCGTGAATCAGACCTTTATGGTCAAATTGCTGCAAAGAAACCACTACTAAAGGACACCAATAAGAAGAATAGACTTGCTTGGGCCAAGAAACACGAATAATGGACATTAGACCGGAGGAAATCTGTCCTTTGGTTTGATGAGTCCAAATATGAGATTTTTGGTTCCAACCGCTGTGTCTTTGTGAGACGCAGAGTAGGTGAACGGATGATCTCTGCATGTGTGGTTCCCACCGTGAGACATGGAGGAGGGGTTGTGATGGTGTGAGGGTGCTTTGCTGGTGACACTGTCAGTGATTTATTTAGAATTCAAGGCACACTTAACCAGCATGGCTACCACAGCATTCTGCAGCGATGTGCCATCCCATCTGGTTTGCGCTTAGTGGGACTATAATTTGTTTTTCAACAGGACAATGACCCAAAACACACCTCCAGGCTCTGTAAGGGCTATTTTACCATGGAGAGTGATGGAGTGCTGCATCAGATGACCTGGCCTCCACTATCACCCGACTTCAACCGAATTGAGATGGTTTGGGATGAGTTGGACTGCAGAGTGAAGGAAAAGCAGCCAACAAGTGCTCAGCATATGTGGGAACTCCTTCAAGACTGTTGGAAAAGCATTCCTCATGAAGCTGGTTGAGAGAATGCCATGAGTGTGCAAAGCTGTCATGAAGACAAAGGATGGCTACTTTGAAGAATATAACATATATTTTGATTTGTTTAACACTTTTTTGGTTACTACATGATTCCATATGTGTTATTTCATTGTTTTGATGTCTTCACTATTATTCTACAATGTAGAAAATAGTAAAAATAAAGAAAAACCCTTGAATGAGTAGGTGTGTCCAAACTTTTGACTGGTACTGTATGTTTGTAATGTCTACCTGAAAGACAATGAACAATAAAATACACAATTTAACATGTAATGCATCATGATAGCCACAAGATGACAGTGGTGCAGATACTGTATAGGCCTACAGGTCCTGAGTAAAAGAGGGGGGGGGGGGGGGCTCACAACACCCCAATGAGACATGAGCTCCCCTAAATGCAACAAAAGTCCAACTTTAGTGGGGTCTCTAATGTAATCATTCTCCAATTTGTTTAAAATGCAATTTTGCCAGGCCTCCTGAGTGGTGCAGCAGTCTAAGGCACTGCATCGCGGTGTTGCTGCATCACTACAGCCTGGGATCGAGCCCAGGCCATGACCGGGAGTCCCATAGGGCGGCGCACAATTGGCCCAGCGTCGTCCGGGTTAGGGGAGGGTTTAGCCGGGAGGGCTTTACTTGGCTCATCGTGCTCTAGCGACTCCTTGTAGCGGGCAAGGCACCTGCAGGCTGACTTCGGTCGTCAGTTGAACGGTGTTTCCTCCGACACATTGGTGCGTCTGGCTTCCGGGTTAAGCGAGTGGGTGTTAAGAAGCGCGGTTTGGCGGGTCATGTTTCGGAGGACACATGACTTGACCTTCACCTCTCCCGAGCCCGTTGGGGAGTTGCAGCGATGAGACAAGATCGTAATCACGAAATTGGGGAGAAAAAGGGGTGGCGGTGGCTCTGCATCATTCGTGGGGGACAACATGTTTACTGTTGTTGCCTTGTTTCAACTGGGCCCTCACAGTTTCTAGCTGATATGAGCTGGACAGAGGACAGACACAGCTATATTTTCTTCCCCTATTTCAGCCCCTTTTCAGGTGTCCTGGCTTTTCTTTGTACAAAAATGATACATTTGTCAGCAAGATGCATCAATTAATTCAGGCTACAAGAGTGTAGGTCAAATGACAATCACTGAATGTCATTACAAGTTTTGGTGTTTTGTAACAGATGTCGCTTTCCATTCATCCAATGGCTGATGCACTGCTTGGATGCTGGAATTATTTTGGAGAAGACAAATGTGCGCAGGTAGCCTAGTTTTTGAAGTGATTTGTTTGACAATGGTTGTGTTCATACCACATTAAAAGGTAATACATGTTTACCATTAAAATGCATGTCTTAGCTATTAGGCCCATAAAAAAAATGTAAACCACCAAATGTCACAGTATAATTCGCACTTGGGCCCATCCTTGAATGGAGCCTTTGGCCTAACTCACCATCAGTGACTTAAAATAGGGCTTGCATAGGCTAGCCCCATAATAATCTTCATGATCTGTGGATCTGTGAGGATAACTTATGCATGCTTTTTCTCTTTCTCTCTCTCTCTCTCTCTCTCTCTCTCTCTCTTTCTCTCTCTCTCTCTCTCTCTCTGGCTACGTCTGAAATGACACCCTATTCCCTTTATAGTGCACTACTTTTGATCATGCAGAGTTGACCCCTCTGTTCAAAAGTAGTGCACTTGGATGCCATTTCAGACGGGACCTCTCCCTCTCTCAATTCAATTTCAATTTAAGGTCTTTATTGGCATGGGAAACGTGTTTACATTGCCAAAGCAAGTGAAATAGATAATAAACAAAAGTGAAATAAACAATAAAAAATTAACAGTAAACATTACACTCACAAAAGTTCCAAAAGAATAAAGACATTTGAAATGTCATATTATGTCTATATACAGTGTTATATTGATGTGCAAATAGTTAAAGTACAAAAAGGAAAATATATAAACATACATTTAGGTTGTATTTACAACAGGTCACAAATCTTGCTGCTGTGATGGCACACTGTGGTATTTCACCCAATAGATATGGGAGTTTATCCAAATTGGATTTGTTTTCGAATTCTTTGTGGGTCTGTGTAATCTGAGGGAAGTATGTGTCTCTAATATGGTCATGCATTTGTCAGGAAGTTAGGAAGTGCAGCTCAGTTTCCATCTCATTTTGTGGGCAGTGTGCACATAACCTGTCTTCTCTTGAGAGCCAGGTCGGCCTACGTGGCCTTTCTCAATAGCAAGGCTATGCTCACTGAGTCTGTACATAGTCAAAGATTTCCTTAATTTTGGGTCAGTCACAGTGGTCAGGTATTCTGCCACTGTGTACTCTCTGTTTAGGACCAAATAGCATTCTAGTTAACTCTGTTTTTGTAAATTATTTACAATGTGTCAAGTAATTATCTTTTTGTTTTCTTGTGATTATGGTTGAGTCTAATTGTGTTGTTGTCCTGGGGCTCTGTGGGTATGTTTGTGTTTGTGAACAGAGCCCCAGGACCCGCTTGCTTAGGGGACTCTTCTCCAGGTTCAGCTCTCTGTAGGGGATGGCTTTGTTATGGAAGGTTTGGGAATCGCTTCCTTTAAGGTGGTTGTAGAATTTAATGGATTTTTTTCTGGATTTTGATAATTAGCAGGCATTGGCCTAATTCTGCTCTGCGTGCATTATTTGGTGATTTACTTTGTACACGGAGGATATTTTTTGCAGAATTCTGCATGCAGAGTCTCAATTAGGCCGATGCCTGCTAATTATCAAAATCCAGAAAAGATCCGTTAAATTCTACAACCACCTTAAAGGAAGCGATTCCCAAACCTTCCATAACATAACTCCCATTTTGTGAATTCTTGGTTGGTGAGCGGACCCCAGACCTCACAACCATAAGGGCAATGGGTTCTATTACATTTGACATTTTTCTCATTTAGCAGACGCTCTTATCCAGAGCGACTTACAGTTAGTGAGTGCACACATTTTTCATACTGACCCCCCGTGGGAATCGAACCCACAACCCTGGCGTTGCAAGCGCCATGCTCTACCAACTGAGCTACAGGAGGCCTATAACTGATTCGAGTATTTTTTGCCATATCCTAATTAGTATGCCGAATTTTATGTTCCTTTTGATAGCATCTCTCTCTCTCTGTATATACATTTGAGTTGAAAATACAATTAATAAAACATCGATCACATCTATGGCCTCGAGCTCACGGAGATGCGCTCGTATCTCGCATTTTCGCATTATTTCGCACCTTTTCGGAACGTGGTCTTGGCACCAAAATTCAAGCATTTCGTCATTCTATGAAAATGTGGCAACTTATGTTTTGGGTACGTCACGTTTGGTCCTTGCATAGGCTACTGTGGATTTAGAAGGATGATAGCATCTTGGTCCAACTTTTATATAATTTATTGCAATGAAGCACATTACAGCAGATACAGAAGCTTCCACATACCCTAGAACACAATCTATAAAAAATAATGGAAGGTCCGAGAAAGACTTACAAATTACAACATTGTTTTTCCCTTTATTATTGTAGTCTAGTAAAAAGTATACTATATCAACATTTATAACGTTTATTACCACACCTATAATGAATTTCCTTCTTATTTTGCGTAAGATAAAATGGTTGCGTCCTCAAATATTTTGTATTGACACTGTGATTGAACATGATGGGCAAAGAGTAGCCTACTACAATGAGTTCATTAATAATTAGGCTACATATACTCAGATCTCGCTCCTAACAGTAAAAGTATGCTACACAACGACATAGCCATCATAGACTCTCAATAGTTATTTTTTTTTAAATCTAACACATTGTATGAGATCACTTGACTATAGTATAGGCCTACGATATGCGTTTTAAACCACAACCAACGAGTATGTCTATACTTAGAAATATTACAAATCAATTCAATAGTTTACATTAATTTCACAGTATCACTAAAGGGTTAAATATTATTTACATTATTTTCATAATTACAATAGACAATTGCTGTTGATGAAAAATCGTTTAAATTAAATAAATAGCCTACTGTATTTAAGGCCTATCAGATAGCAAACGAATACTGTTAAATGGAAGAATCTCGCCTAAATTTCCCAAGAAGGCCTATGCGCTACAAGCCAACATCTTAAATCGTTCGTCATTGTTGGTCCAAGACAGGGTGTGCATTGCAACTGATAGGCCTATCCGTAGGATATTATCAGTTGGATAAAGGCTAAAGATAGATGGATCTAAAAAGAACACATGGGTCATGCGTTTTTTCTAGATTTGTGGTTGTTTAACTGTGTGGATAAAAACTATAGTAACCAATGTCCTTGGCGCAATTTTTCTCACACTCTCTTGGAGCCAACATCTCAGATTTCAACGGGGTTTCCGAAACCGGTGTGGCAGACGGTGAAATTCTTCTCCGTTTGGCTTGCTCAAAGATGCCAGAATCACTTGAATCAATCGACTTGATTGAAGACGGCGTCTCTATCCAGCTGGATTCGGATAAGTCTTTTGGTTTTGCCTCCTCAGACCCTCCGATGGGTGACCTTTCTGTTGGGATGGTGTCGGCGTCATCAACCAGGTAGTTGGAGGTGCCTGTTCTGCCACCAACAGAATTTGTGGGCCAGCAAGAGAGAACAGGGCTAGACTTACTGCAGTACTGGGGTGGTGTGCGTGTCCCCCAGCCGGATGGGTCGGTATAGTAACCTAGAGGTCTGCTTGAGCACCCTGCAGTGGGCAGGGGAAGTGCCTTTACTCCAGCCGCTGCATATGACAGCAGGGTGGCCGCGTTACCGGCAAAATCAGCAGCCGCGGCGGCATCGTATGCCGAGGCGGCAAAGTCCAGTCGGTTATTGGCAGGGGTGACAAACCATCGCTGCGGGGATGCAACTGTGGGCTCTTCGGTTTGCTGCGGGGATAGCAAGCTGTTACTAAGTGGGACGCTGCGGTCCGTGCCAGGACCAGTCCCTACGCCAGGGTGAAAGCGAGATTTGGCATAACTGCTGACAAATTGGTCCTGTAGGAAAGAACCAGCCATGGCATATCTCGCACCAGGCATGATCTGAGAGCGAGGCGAGTCACCCGGTGATGGCGTTAACCGGTCAATGTCGCAACCTGTGTAGACACTGAAAAGATGAGGGAGAAACATACAAACAAACTATGAATCATGAGAAATATCCGTCACTGCCAATGTGAAAGAATGGAACAAACTTTCACAAATACTAATTTGATAAAAATGCAGAAGGAACTAGGCCTAGGCCGACCAAAGTTTTTTTGGGGACATCATCAAATAAAGATTATCATCTAACCAAGTGGCCTGATAAAAAAAGTAACCATAATGTGGTTATTATGGTGGACTGCTTGAGGCCTACTGCAAATTATAATTAGGCCTATGCGTATTAATGTGTCCGCATTAAAATTAAACGAAAACGTGAACCTTGATAGGCTAATTAGTTATCGATGCTGATCACATTTTAAGATGATTGATATTGAAGAGCCAACGTGGACACAACATAGGCTATATACCAATCCTCGCTCCCAATGAACGCACGTTCCAAGAACTTGATAGGCCTATATCATATATGGCTATATATATATATATATATATATATATATATATATATATATATATATGGCTTCTCATTAATAGCCTATTTTGTTCATTTACAATAGCCTAACGAAAAGCCTAACATTCTCACAATATAACCAAAAACTTGCTGTATTAGAAATGTTGGTTAAAAGTTTTCCTGCGATTGAAATGTCTTTAAATTAAAATGTAGCATGAGCAAAAAAGAATGATGTATGATTAGGCTACACTTCATTTACATAAAAAGGAACTATCATTTGAATTGCATCAAATGGGTTCTGTCCAATTAATTGACCTATATCATTTAATTTAATTTATAATCGGGGAGAGGCAGAACCAAGCAAAACAAACGGGATTAAACACAAAGAATAAAAGCACAAATAGTAAATGACAAATAGTCTTACGTGTCATAGTTGTCCCGAAATCCTTTAGCAAATGGATTGTGGTCGATTTTTAGCTGCGTAATCTGCACAGAAAAAAGGAGGCGGATTTTAAGGAATAACAGGTGCTTGTTGTTTTCTACCGTTCCAAATCCTAATATACCAAACGAAATGTGGCTTTTTGATATAGGCAACAATACTATAATACTTAACGAATGGAATGATCGTCAATACGATTTTCAATAAGATTTTCAATAAGATTTTTCAATAAGATTTTCTTACATCGGTATTCTGGTAAGCTGTGACTGCGATGAACTGTGTTTCTGGGAAGGTGAACGTCTGTACTCTTCCAGGTTGGCTGGAGTCCTCGGTTCCATCTTCGTTGACTTCCACTACATGGAGCCTGGGCTGGTACTTGTGAAGGGATTGTAGAACCACCATCTGGAGGTACAAGTAAGGAAGAGATTCCATAAATGACCACGGTCAATTTCGAACTTAAAATTGGAGCCAATAAGCCATGGTATTTTCTTGATGTAGGCTAAAGGACCAACACTGAAGACCATTTTATAAAAATTGTTATTTAGACTTTAGATTATGATGAATTATTGGGGGAAACATAATAAGCTAACTATTGTGTAAATGCAGGTGTGAGCACAACAAACTCTCCTTACTCAATAGTTAATTGATGGTCTTTGAACGTTTCTGGTCATACTAGTTAACGTTTTGTTTTATAGCCTGTATCTAAAATTAAAAGGTCGTAGCTGACCTGTCCCGGGTTGTTTGAACCTCCTTTGTTGTTCGTTAACTTCAGCTTTCCAAAGGAGATTTCTTGGCGCATCCAGTGCGCCCCGGTGTTTGGAGAGTCAGGGTGCATATACACCCTGTTTCCTGTGGAAAATAAAGACATTAAATACATTGAAATGCACTGCTATTAGAAAATATCATACAAATATAGATTTTCAATTATATTATATTATATATTTGTTTGATTGTATTAGGTCAATGTTGCGTGTTAGCTTGGCATTGCAGAATCAAGGCCTACGTAAAAAAAAAAAAAAAAAAGGCTATATTCTTATCTTAATTATCAACCATTATCCTCACTGTATATTTCACAGAGATGTAGGCAGGAACGTACCTGTCACATTTGTATCCGCTTTGCCACATGGTACCCACTTGCCACCTTGGAATCGCCAGTGATTTGGATCAGCAAGAATAACATCCACAAATATATTGTAGTGCGCCGTCGGGTCGAGACCAGAAATGTTGAAACTCAAAAAGGGGAACATCCGTCTGTAATAATAACAAATAAAAATGTTGTGCGCTGATGTGGTAATATCAGGCGATGTGTCATGCATAGCAGACCAACACTTTTGGTGATCTATCAAATTGTGAAAGTATTTGTGAAACAATCCAAGAAAAATATAGTCAGTTGAACATGTTCAATTATATTGAGAATATAGGCAATATATTGAACGAATTACAATTGCAATGACCTTCCATATCCCCCCCAAAAAAACGAAATCATGCGTATTAGGCTATTTTCACAATCTTTGCCTCCAAACTTGTGGTGAAGTGAATGTAACTGGAGAGGGATACCTACCGTCCTTGTTTAGTGATTATCATCTCTGTTTGATGTCTATGAAACTTCAGCCACAGGGCCCTGTTGCACAGATATACCTGCGCTTTCCCAGGCACCAGCCCAGCTTGCGCGGAGGAAAACTGGTAGAACGCCGCTCCTTGATAAGTGTGTCCATACTGTTGCGCGTATGGGTAACCCGCGGTTGGGTAGCCTTGCGGAGAACTGTTGGTCAGAAGACTGTTATACGCTCCATTAGTGATGACTGGATGGTGGGCCATATAACGACTCGGACTCCCAATAGAAAAAGCCGGGTGAGCTGGTCCATGTTGACTCGGATAGGGGAACATGGCACTTGGAGTTGCTGAGACTGACTGTGGTTGGCTAGACTGAGAAAGGATATACCTTTCTCCTGAAGATCCATCGAAATGATGACGAATTTCAGAGACTCCGTGGAGATCAGGAGAGAGTTTTCCTCTCTGGACGTCCCCTGATGCGTCCTTGGAATCGGAAAAATTGTCTGCCTCTGACTGATTCGTCATCCCCATGGATTTTTTTTTCAGAGGTGAACTTCTCTCCAGGTTGTCACTAGCAGATATAATTGTATGGTCCTGCAAGGCAAGCTCAGATCCATCGGAGCTTGGATAGCCACTGCCCACATTCAGACATTTCTTGGAGAGCACACTAGCTGGCAAGATGCAATTCTCGAGCTGCATAGCTCTCAATGACAAACCGCTATTAAGGCAAACTATATGCAAGCTTTTGTCCACGCCTAATAACTCTAATCTAGCAAACGAAAAAAACACCTTCCTATGGTTTGAGGCACTTTGAGTAAGAAAGCAAATAAGCCAATTGACACCATCCTGCAATCAGGAAAGATTTGCTTTTCAACACTCTTCCTTGCTAATGAAACAACTATTGCTATTGGTTAGCTCAAGACAGTAATTTAATTAGACAGCTCTTAATTGGGATAATCATCAAGGCTTTGTGCATATACCCCATTTGCTTGTAGAGACAATCAATCAGCATTATGTCATAATTTGATAAAAAATGATCAACTTTATGTGATATATAGATATCACACCTGTATGTTAACTATTTCATATCTTTATGCATTGCCACATGCTCATGTTGGTTGTAGAAACCAACATCAACACAAATAGGCCTGCCGGAAACATACAATTATGTTTTCCCCCTGTAGATTTTGACATTATTAAGGAAAATGTGCGTTATTTACCTATTAATGTGGTAAGAGTGGTAAAGTATGTTTACCGAGGAAACAAAAATATATTATTAACATAGCACAAATGACAGGCAATGACAGGCAGTGCACTTCATGCTTTAAAATGTTTGTGATATAGCGTGAAATCATGCCGTTCCTCTGAAGATGTGTTTATGAGTCCCAAGGCAGGTAAATATTTTATTACTCTGGTCTAAAGTTTTGAATCAGAGCACTCCAAACAGCGAGTGCACTGACAAATAAAACAACAGAATCAAAATCAGCAAGAATGAAAAAACAAAATCACCAATTAAATAACATTATGAAAATATTTTTTTAATTCGATGGACGTTGAGCTAAAGGAAGTTATTTCACCCAATTTCTATTTCCGAATTCTAACAAATTTATAAAATCTTAAGAATTCATGCGATTTTGTTTAATGATATTATAAAATATCACTGTAATTATTAAACGAGTGGACTCTTTTGAGTTGTGTTGTTTGATTAGCAGTTATAGGCTTTATTAATTATGCACAGGGAAAAAGTGAAAATCTGATATTCCTCTCAAATATATAGACTAACTTAAAAGGGAACTATTCTGAAGAAAAGGTCGATGTCATCTTGACTATTTTTCAGTATTAGAGCTTCATTGATGTGGGGCAGTGTGACAGGGTAATTGGACAAAATCCAACCTGAATGTTGTGGTCCAGAATGAGCCAAGAAGATGCTGTGTGTTGCTTTACAAGTCTGGCAAAACTCCACATTTTACTTAAGCCTACTTATCGACTGAAATATGTAAACCTAATCCAAATATTCCTTACATGGACATTTTGTTTTGATAAATATCACAAGGCCAGCCCCACATTCTATTTAAATCTCTCAAATCAAATCAAATGTTATTGCTCACATACACGTATTTAGCGGATGTAGCGAAATCCTTGTGTTCCTAGCTCCAATCTTTTCTTGAAGTGCATCAATGAAATTGTGTTTTTATGCTCCATATCAACACTATGATATGTAACTGCCGTTGATATTACGTTATTATTCGAAAATAGCATGTTCCTCAACATGTAGGCATTGCAAAGCACGTTGGTAGATGTCATGATAAGACAACAAACACATCGTTGTTCTTTCTAACTTCAGAGCCAGCTGTTTGGCTGCCATTGTCCTCCGCCCCAAACCTCAACAGCTTGAAATAGAGAACACAACTCAGTAGCCATGTGGAGTGTTCACAGTTATGCATTAACTCAGAGGGATCAACACAACTGATTACATTATTGTATACCCTTACCATACCCTTATGGTAAACCCTTGGTAGTCTTGCAAGTTCTAGCAAGTTCAGCAAATGCATTTATCAAGATAGGTGAGAAAACACAATGTGAACAATCAGAAGGAGTGCTGTGTAGCTGCATGGTTAAATTCCATTCCTACAGGTCAAGACAATTGACTAGTGAAAGTGGGAGGATGAGATGCTAATAACTGAAATAGCCAGCATAGCCTATTGGCAGAAATCAGTCAGGTTTGACTGGAGTAAAATATACAGAATACTTTTGATGTATGAAAAGTTCCTATGTTTTCTTGAGTCATTATTTTCTGAGGGAAAACAGCCAGGCTTGAAATAAAGCATCAAGTATCAGTATACTGAACATTACTTTGAATAAATGTTGCATTCTGTTTCAATAAAGTTGCATAAAGTCTGTGTTAAACAAGCCAAATTGAACGGTGCAAAACAAGCTCCCATCTCTGATAGTGGGGTATCCAGAGAGGTGAAAGGGTTTGCATTCTAATGAAGGGCTGTGCATCTGAGGCTAAGAAGAGAGGTCATTACAGCAGGGCAATAGGCTCTAGTAATCTATTCCTGTAAAACGTACAAGCATGGGCTTGCCTGTGCCTCCAACCAGGAGTTGGCGCAGGCCTTCCCATCCTCATTACAGCATTATGCTTCACTTCCATCACTGATCTTTAATAAGCAAACTGGGCTTGCTTTTTTCGAACCAACCAATGGTTGAATCATCCATGCAGCAGCAGCACCGTAGTTTGTTTTCTCCCCATGCTCTATTCCCATTTGTTTGTTATTAGCCCCAGTACTTTGTTCTTATTAGCCCAGCTAGTGGCCATAACCACAGAGGGACCAGGCTGATTATCCATGCCACGGCCAGTCCCTCAGGAGTTCATTGTGCAGGTTAGGGAGGGACTATACCTCAGGCTCGGCACACACCCTCCACTGACCAGACTATATGAAGACAATATGAAATAATGAAAGTTTAATCTGTTATAACCATAAGCCTTCTTAAAATGCATGGTTATAATGGGAGATATAAAGAACGATACTGCCTGTTAATGTCTTCAGTTCAATCCATTTGATATATTGTTTTAGATATATTTTGTAAGAAACTTTACCTGTATGCCTATGGACAGCTCGTTCAACTAAAGTTAATGTCCCCAAAACATCCTATTAGACCCATCATTATCATATTTCCCAGCATGCTCTGCATATAGATTTTTTAGGATTGTTTTTAATATCTGTATTTTTGCACATACATTGATTGATTAATCTTATGCTACACAAAGATAAATAACATAAATGTTTTATAAACAAATCCAAATCAGTTAGTTAGATTTATAGCACCAGTTACTAAAATGGTTGTTCCAGTTTAAATGTTTCATTCTGAATGCAGGTTACGGGTGAATAAAAATTCCAACTGTTGGATATCCTATCCCTGGCTGGATTCCAATAGGAATTACACATCACTTTGCAAGCCAGCATAATGTGACTTGCAGGCCTGATGTGGCCTGTAAACCAGGAGTTTCCGAACACCAATGTGTTAGGGTAAAACTAGGCCATCAAAGTAAGGCCTTATGATATATGTAATGTATTGTCATAAAGTTACATTTCTATGATAACATTCATCTTAGGTAATCATTTGGTGAAAGCCACATGCCTTTAAAAGGAAATAATTCAACAACCATGTCTCTGTCACTAACAAATACAGTCATGGGTGGCAACTCTACAATTCACTCGAAAAGCAAAGGCATCATGGGAAATATGCAAATGTGGCTTTACACCAAACAGTGTTAAAACAACACCCAAAATGACTTACTGTAACAGTGTTTTTGTTTAACACTAATAGGAGTTAACTCTAGGTCAACACTAGTGTTAAATAGAAATAACACTGGCAAGTGTAATGCAGTGTTACTTTTTACACTATGGAGATCTACATTAACACTCAAAATGTAACACTATAATCAGAGTACTTTTTACACTCTGTAGAGTGGGACCATATGTTATCTGAGATAGTGTTAAAATTAACTCTTTAAGTGTTGATTTAACACTGCAAAATGTACTGTGTACCATCAATAAAAGCATAAACGTTAGTTACAGTAAGGGCAGCTGTCCACCGCACCAAAACATCTGCCTATGGTTGCTAGCCAGGTCTCTTTTTAAGGTATTAAGGTATCTCCTTTTGACAATTATTGTAAATGTTAAAATATATAATAATAATATATAAATAATCTTTGAACATTTTAACCCTGAATTTTCAGTCAAGAACGGTATCATCCTTTTCCTTGATGTCCCAAAGAACTATGTTTGCCACCTGGGTCTAATCTAATCAATGTGGATGACAAGGAGAGAAAAAGCCTGAAAGTGAGCACCAGCTCAGGGACTTTCCCTAATGCCCGGCACTGTCACATCAATGATGTGATCACAGCACACAAAATGACAACAAAATTATAGCCAGCAAGGATATGGGGACAGAGTGTGCTGCCCCAGTCAGATGCAATTCCTTTTTGTGCCTATGAAATGGCATCTCTCTTGTCGGATGGGTAAACATTTCCCTGTCAGGCCAGTAATAAGGAATGAAGCACACTGAGCTGAACTAAGAGGATAGAGCCAAGGTTATTTGTGATTCATGACAGGTAGTGGCTTATATTACAGTGGCACTAAAAATTTCATGGGAATGCATTTAAGATGCCCTTTAAGTTATTTATATGTTGTTTGCCAGACATCACATTGAAATTTTCATCAATAAATCAAGTTAGTAAGTATTTCTCTTTTTCTCTGCCGTTTGAATAAAAAAGAGGAAGCAAATCAATTCCCCCTAAACTTAATTAGTCCAACTCATTTCTCTTAAGCCTTTGTCTGTTTGACACTAACATACATGTTGGCCCCTGTGGTCTCCTGCAACCACAGATCTCCCACTGTCAGAAAGAATCAGGGTGCACTTTGGGAAAAAGACAGCTGGTGGTCTGCTAAGGGGCCAGTTGGACAGTTATGGATTTTAAAGCCTTATTAACCATCCTCCCAGCCATGTCATCTGAAGAAGTGTACTCCTATAGCCCTCATTATTGATGTCCTTTCACGTCCTCAAGTCAGCGATCCCGCCGATTCTTGACCACAAACCTTTACCTGGCTGTCAGTGAGTTACATAAAAGGGCAGATGACATAAGGTGTCTCTTTGAACACTCTTGACTCCAAACTAAAATGAAACTCTGGTCG